AAAAAAAACATATGGGGAAATTAGTGGGTACCCATCCCCAACCCATCCCCTGTGGATATTTAAAGAATATTACCTACCCTACCCAATGGATAAAAAAAAGAGGGGAAAACCCATGTATTTGGGTTGGGTCTCCATGGATACCTACAGGGTAGGTTATCCATTGCCATCCCTACCTTTAGATTACCTTGATTAGTGTGTAGTGCTTTATTGTAAGTGTAATCCAAAGGTCACAAATCTTTCATGACCATTTTCATGAAAGACTTTTCATGATACCTAGCATTACTGTAAGTTTAAAGGCCCTATTTTAGAGATCTTAAGATTTTTTCACTTCTTGTATACTAAATTATATTAATCAATAAATAGTTTAAAATAGTGGTTTAACCGATTGTAAACTTAGATCTAATAGTTCAAAAATTTTAAAAATTAAAAAAAACTATTTGTTAGATTTATATAATTTTTTCATGAAATACTTCTTTCACAACGCTTATATAAGAAGTTATATTCAATTACAAATGTACCAAAACTAACTCAATATTTTTTATGCATACATATTGGCCTCTCCCAAACAAAATCCCTGGTTCCACCCCTAATCAAAATGTTTTGGACAGAATATTTTTTTCTTAGAAGGTGTTTTCTGTTGAAACAAAGGGAACGGTAGTTTCAAGAAGAGGGAGAGGGCCAAGGAAGTCACTCAGTATATTTTGAGTCAGTCCCCTTCCAATGAGAAGTGCCATCCTTTTATCATCCTCTTGTTTTCTTATTGTCTTAAATAGCACTGCAAATGAACAGATCTGTTTGTAAATAGGCTTGAGCTCAACTCGTTCAAACTCGATTCGTTAATTTTTTTTTTTCTTTCAAGTTCGAGCTCGTTAAATTTTTAATAAACAAGCTTAAACATTCTAAAGTTCGGCTCATAAGCTTGACTCGTTAGCTAACTCGTTTAATATTTATTATTTATATATTAAATAATGTAAAAATATGTATAAAAAATAAGATAAATATGTTATTTATCTATTTGAAAATATAAATATAAATAATAGTTAGCTATAGATAGTACATTTATATAATAGTGGTAGTAGATATTATTATTTTAGTAAAATATTGACTTTTTTTTAGTATATTTATATATATTATATATATAATTGTATAATCAAAGTTTTAATTGTAACTTTAAT